AGCCAACGGGGGGCAGCCGGGCAACAACCAGCTCATGAACACACTGCGTGAGTCCCTCAAAGTTACTTGAAGAGAAGACATTTAAAAAAACATGGCAGTCAAAGGGAAGATTTCAATGTCCGGCCGATTCTGAGAAATTATGGTCAAACACGAATTATTACTGAGCTTGAAAACAATTGTTATGAAGGCTATGAAAAGGGACTTCTTTAGGGCATGGATTTCTATTTCATTTCAAATAAAACAAGTCCCGCCAATCGACTCGTTAAAAGTATGAATAAGTAAATATATAACGCCGGAACTTTTAAAATAAAGGACTTCCTCTCTGACTCATCACATTTTAATTAAGGCGTGCTGCTGCCGACTTCAAAATCAAGTGTGGTTCAGTCCAGCTCTAAAATCGATTACAGGCTTCATAGACCGATCTGACATTACTTGACGACTTTGAAGACCTTTGAGAAATGGGTCTCTCCATAATCGAATAAGCAGCTGGAACCGACTCGTATCGTCTCCCTTTTTTAAATACACTTCGATGTGTGCGTTATGACAGATCTTTCAGGTCAAAGTTCCCTTAAAACCAGCTAACGGAAACACTCATGTTGCGAGAGGCAGGGAAGGGCAAAGGACATGTTGTTACATATTTTCCACCATTTCCAGTAACCAAGCATGTTAACAAACATCAGTGCTCATGAAACCACCTCAGTGTCATTTCTCATTATGGCAGGACACTGGTCCAAAATGTCCTAATGTTATAATCTGTCTGTTTGTCCCAGGAAACGACCTTCAACTCAGCGAGTCGGGCAGCGACAGTGATGACGACTAAACGTCACACACACACACACACACACACACACACACACACACACACACACACACACACACACACACACACACACACACACACACACACACACACACACACACACTACACTACTACGTACGTACTACTACTACTACTACTACTACTANCTCACACACACACACACACACACACACACACAGACACACACACACACACACACACACACACACACTCCTCCTCTCCACTGGTTACTGCTGTGTATCCCAGTTTGATTGTATCTTTTATTTTTTATTTTCGTATATCCTTAAAGCTAAGAGTGTATTTTTTATTAGATGTTATATTTTATTTTGTATAGCGAGACAGAGAAACTTTTACTTGGTCGGTTTGGAAGATTATATATTGGAGTGCACATATTTTCTGTACTCAGAGCAGCTACTTTTATCTCCATGTATCATCTGTCTCTCGTTGGGTTTGTCTTTACGCTGAGGCGAGGAAGGGATCATTTTGAAAGATAACCACTCTCTCACCTCGTCTGGTTTTAATCAGGGAAGGCTGTGGGACTTCTATGTCGTGTTTGTAATGTTTATTGTTATATAGAAAATGCAGAATTGTCTGTGCATCAGTAACACATTGATGAAAAACAAGTCTAAGTCAAATTTAGACAGGCCAGTATTTTAGAAGTTACAGAGACCTTGTTCTACAATTGCAGGTGTTTTTTTGGGTTTATTCTTTTACCACTAGGGGGCAGAAAAGACCTAAAAACAAACTGTCGGAAACAGATCTGACATGTATAAGCTTTTAATGTTGCTAATAGTTAGCAAGCAGTTGAATGTAAGAAATCCACCAAATCTAAAAAACGATCCGTGTTTAGGAACTCAAACCCTAAACATGTGGTTTGTTTGTAGCTGGAGAATAATCGAATAATAAGCTAAACGAGGTCAAATGTTCCAGTCAAGACGCAAAATTGTCTGTTTTTGGAAGTGTTACCTTATCAAAAGGTACCCAGCAACAGAGGAGGAGGTAGTCAGTTAGTCATGGGCTAATATTAATGCATTTTCTCAACTGGGTGCATTACGATCGACCTTCTCGTCACAATGAATCCCATTTCCTCGCAGTATAACCAGTTACAATATGATACATACCATTCTTCAAATCCCTTTATGATAACGGTCTAAAACCTTTAAAGTGATTCATTTGTTAATAAAAGTCCTTCAAAGGCACCTGAAACTCAAATGATCTACGATTACGTCTGAAAAAGGGAAATAAACTAGTTCAAAAAGTTCAGATATTTTTTTTTTCTCCACCCAGACACTATTTGTTCTAAGTGTTGTCATTTTTCAATCAAACTTTTTTTTTTTAGACCCCGCATTTCCATATAACACTAAAGGATCATTCCATGCCTTACAGCGTCTCGGTGAAGGTGAATGTGTTGTTTTGTGAAAAAGCCAAAGAGTGAAACTGCCTGTCATCGTTTTCGTTTCGCTTTCATTAAAAACACGGTTTGTGTTGATGTGACCATCTGCAGGAGACACTCGGTGCTGATTGTTCAGTGAATCAATATCAATGCAACAAAACAACCTACATTCAGAAACACTAAGGAAGGGTTTGATAGCAAAATGCCAAGACTTCATTTTATTAGGAATTTGAAACACTTTTTTTGGACGGGCTTCCGTTGATCCCCGTTGGGATATTTAGGAGTTATACAAGGTTTTAAAGTTAGAGGAATGTTCCTTCTAGTTAATTTGACAATGAATCTGTAGAGCAGAGTCCTGATCAAGTAAGAAATTGAAAAATGGTCTCACGTTTTTTACGAGGAAGCAGAAGTAACCAACACAAAGTTACTGTTTATCTTTCTAAATTGTAAATGAACCCTCAGCTGGTTTGATAAATCAGCCGCTGAGGCTCAAACGTCTCACACCAGTCTCTGAATCCACACCTCGGTTGTTGAATGTTGTTGTATTTGGTTCTTTTGTTGTCATGTTTTTCTATTAGTGATACGTTTATGTGAAATGTGTTTGTACAAACTTGAAGTGTATTAAAAGTGTTTCAATTCATTTTAGTTTGGTCTTCATTGTGAGCATTGGCTTTTTCTGAGTGCTGATTTTATTATAGTCGTGCATTAAAGCTCTGTTCTCACAGGTGTGGATGCACCAAACACGCTTTAGGATCCAATCATTCCCACATTTCAAAATGTTCTGGAGACACTTTACTGAAGCAAATGCATTGTTGGCTACATTAAAGCTCACCTATCATGCTATCTTTAGGCAATAGCATAGGTCTCAGATATATAAAAAATTATAAAAAACATGTCTATGAAGTGTTTTGCTCAAAATACCAAACAGATCACCCATTCTAGCCATGCCTCATATCCCTCTATTTCACTTCCTGTTTCAAAAGTGCTGATTTGGGGTATAAAGCTTAAAAAAAAAAAAGAATTGATCAAATAAAAAAGTTGGGGTCTGAGCTCATGCGGGACCCGGCAGCTACTGTCTAAACTAAATACTGCCGTGATGAAACGCCATATCATGGATTATCAAGGATTATCTCTGAAACAGTATGGAGCTCAAAGGCTTTCTCTCTTGCCGGTTATACCACAAGGTGAGTTCCTTTTTACTTCCTGCTTCTTCACACACATGCTCTCCAGTACAGGTTAGCTCTGAGTGTTAGCCATGCTAATGTAAACACCGACCAGATTACGTCCAAAACAGTCGGGCATTGTTTCTGATAGAAACGTTTCTGATCGGGCTGTGGGTCCACATTTCAGATATTACGTCATATCGGACGCAAATCTGGATTAGCTCCGTTGTTCCCCGTTGTTAGAGATTTGGGTACGGAGGAAAAGAGAGGGTTTTATTTTCTGACGCTGCGTGAGTTCCCCGACACACCGGGACACATCTTTATGTATAAAAGACATCAAAAAGTGCATTTTGCATGATAGGTCCCCTTTAAAAGACTTTCTACTCAACCCACATCCTCTACGTACATATTTGTCGTGTCAAATTAAAGTGAAATATCAGGCAACAACATCAGATCTCAAATGCTAAAACATTTCCAAAAAGCCCACAGGGATATACATAGTTTGGCCAAGGAAATGACCCAATCTGTATTGTTTTAAAGGTCCCATGTCATGGCCATTTCCACTGATCATAATTCCATTGTTGAGGTCTACTAGAATAGATTTATACTGTGCAATTTCCCAAACTCACATTGGTTTCTCATACAGCATCTCTGTAAAGTATGTGTATTCACCGGTATTCACTCTCTGTCCTAAACGGCTTGTTGGAGATCCTGTGAGCCCAGTGTGCTCTGATTGGTCGCGACGTGAGAGCCTCGTTGCTGCTGCGAGGAGCAGACAGGCTTCCATCTCGGCGATACAGGAGAACAAGCGTAACTCATCCTGAGCTCACACAAACACTCACAGCCGAAGTAAAAACAAGTGTGGCTTGATATTGAGTAAGAAAAAGGTTTATAACGCTGTGAGCATGGGTCTGCGGAGAGCATTTCTCCGCAATCCCAACGTAGTAGCCCAAAAAACGTT